AAATAATTACGTAAGCCAAAAGTACAGTGCCCATCAGGTGCGCCTACATAACCACATCTTACCGAAATTGCCTTGCCATCGGAGCCTGCAGGGTGACGCAGGAGAGATTGCGGTAAATGTGGTGCAATTCTGCGCGCGCGCAATTCACTGTTGCGCCAAGCGGCAGACTTCATTGGTTTCTAGGTTCAGACTGGCTTCTCTGCGGCGGTCGCTGGGGGATCACATCCGGTCAAGAATTCTCACACGGTGAGACGCTGCCGAGAATCAATGATATCTGAGGTTTTCTTCAAGGTACAAAGTCACAGCTGGAAAACTTATGGAGGGAAAGAATCGGTATCAAGTTCAAACAGTTATCGGTGCAGCTGACACGGTCTAACACCCGCAAGGCAGTCGAAATGATAAGAATTCCGAAAAAGCCTCAATCATGAACTGATACACGATTATGTCACCGGTGAACTTCCTCGTTCTCGACAATCGAACTGTCATCTGTAGGCAAATGACGCTCAGGTGCTCTCTGCGCACACACTTTATCAATTCCCTTTCGGTTATGGACACCGCTATTACCGACAAAGGCAAGGGAGACTGGAATGGCCATTTTTGGCTCATTTGCCGTTGTCAGCCAGTCGTACCCGACCCCGAAGTGTGGAACACTCGAGGTTCGAACTCGCGACCTTTTACTTAGGAGTCCACGCCTTTAACCACTGGGCCATGAGCCCGTTGTCCTGTCGGTTTTTCGATCGGGAATATACAATGTTAGGGGGCGCTCACCGATCGTTCATACGGAACTCACTCGTTCCGTTGTGCCTTAAGGGCTCTCTCTCGAGCCCAACCAGCAGCCGCACAGCGGCGCATGATATATAGGCAGAATGATATTACCGACAAAGACAAGGGAGACTGGAATGGCCACTTCTGGCTTATTAGCCGTCGTAAGCCAGTCATCCCATCCCGTAATGTCGGTATTGCCATTCCGCCTACATCATGCGCCGCTGTGCGACTGCTGGTTGGGCTCGAGAGAGAGAGCCCGTAAGGCACAACGGGACGAGTGGGTTCCGCAAAAAGGATCGGTGAGCGCCCCTCTATCCCGATTGCAACCGACAGGACAACGATCCCGTGGCACAGTGGTTAGAAGCGTTGAACTTCTAAACCACAGGCCGCGAGCTCGAGCCTCAGGTGTTCCACTCTTCGGGGTTGGGTATGATTGGCTGACGACAGTTAATAAGCCAGAAATGGCCACTCCAGTCCCCCTTGTCTTTGTCGGTAATAACATTCCTCCTATATCGTGCACCGCTGTATACGGCTGCTGGTTCGGCTAGAGAGAGAGAGTCCGTAAGGAACAACGGAAAGAGTGGGTTCCGTAAGAACGATCGGTGAGTGCCCCTCTACCATTAGGAGCTCTGTCTCTACCAGCCAAGGGTTTAGTCAATAAGACAGTCTGCTTACAAGGTCACCCAAAGTGTTCCATCCATGGTTGCAAGAGTTGCGAACAGCCCCATGAAAGGATTCGGAAGACCAGTTGGCGAGCATGCGTGTGCTTTCGGCAAATTCTCATTGGGCCAGCACAGTTACATGGGAACGGGGCACAAGTAGGACGCGTGAGAGATGAGAGAAATTGACTACAGTTCGTTTTCTCATGCAAGTGAGGTGTGGAAACAAGGATAGGGGGACGATTTAAAGACGGGGAGTTAGGAGGCGATGAGAGCTAGGGAGACGGCGATGGGTGGGAAGGCACCTAAGCGTGCATGAAGTTGACTGTCATCTGGTCACGATAGGCGTAGAGCTTGTACAACAGTTCTTCTGTGCGCACAAGACCAGCTTTTTTAACCTAATGGTAGGAGCCTCTGCTGTTGTTAACGTCCACTGACCTAGGTCCTTAGAGACCTTTTAAACCGCACGAAAGTCTGCGTTGGGTCCACACGGTGCCCTCAAGCAACAGTTTGTAAGAATGGCGTTGTTTATGCCTTTAATTTCACATTCTCAACCATGCTAGGAAGTGTTCACGCCTTCTTTTACATGGGCCCCTACTGGTGCGACCATTATATCCTGCTCCACAGGAGCAAGTAATGGAGTAAATACACACGGAGGGGGTCTGAGCTGGTAACCTATCCTTACTTTCTTCTTGTTAACCGGGATTAGTCGAGAATAATTTCCGAATTCTTTTGCGGTTAAACGCTCATGAAACAGTCTGATAAACGTTCCCCCTCCGACATTCACTCTCTTGAAAATGGACTTCGTGGAAAGGCGGTTTCTTTTTTGTGATGGATTTTGTGATTCACTCGGCGGTATTGTTCGCCAAATATTTGTCGGAGTACTTACCCTCACGAGAGAGAGCCCGTAAGGCACAACGGAACCAGTGAGTTCCGTAAGAACGATCGGTGAGCGCCCCTCTACCTCTTTATCTACTGCAGTCGTCAGTGTTCCAATTTCCTGCTGATTGGCCAACATAAAATCGCAGATGCCATCGACTGTCTCTGCCACTGGGGTTTTTGCGAAGTGTGATGAAACGCCTGGCAAAAACATTATCATTCCGTTTCGCTTAAAATTTTTGACATCGTCAGTGAATTTGATGGCATCCCAATGGCTAAGTGGTACTAGTTAATGCCTTACGGGCCTGAGTTTCTTTGGCTCTCGCACGATACGGACCGGCTGGCCATTTTTAGGTAAACCACACAGTCGAGAGAAATGTGTGCCGACTGGTCGGAGGTGTTGGAAGTCACGGTCGCTTATGAAATCCCCTGTGCAGAGCCTTCTTAGACAGTCCGTCGGTTTAGCCTCTACCTCATCCATGCAATCTTCTTTCTGTCTACCCTCTTGAATTTCTTCTGATCTGACAAACCTGACTCTATCTTCGTTATGTAGCTCAATCTGTTCATTAAAACAATGCCGAGATATATTTTTGTCCTCTCAAAGTTCTTTAAACTTCCTCACGTGTGCATTTGGTTCCTTGTTTAGGTATTGATACAGTACGTGACCTATATCATGAAATCTGATAAGGGGAACTAATGTGAACCTTTTTTAAAACCCCGTTATACCCTTCTTTCAAGTGTAAAATTGAAAGAAGACGTAATTTTCTACCGGTGGAGCAAAAGAGTGAATGTTTTTGTGCATGTTTTCCATGAAGTATAATTAAATCTTTAAGTGCATCGAAAAGCAATGAGAAAAATTCATGCTACATAAGTAGTCATTTTTTTGCAGAGTGTAGTTATTGCATGCAGCCGGAAGGAAGTTCGTTCGAAAGCTGGCATCCTGAGGTAACTGAAATATTATAGAATTATGCCGCGGGATGATTACTTTTACAACCTTACTTAATTAATCTTTTCGAAACGAAAACGCATTTCGGAATCCCGGTTGACATTTCATGATTTAGCCCATATACTGTACTTCCCCAATGAGCAGGTCGTAGAAACGGCTGTTATTCTTGTTATTAATCCCTTGAATCTGGATCCCAGAGCCCAGCCATTATTAATAGCCTCCTAGAAGACCAACTGGCGAGCTTGTGTTTGCTTTCGATGAATTCTCGGCAGTCCAGTACATTTATATGGGGACGGGGTAGAAGTAAAAACATGTCAGTGATAAGAGTAAGTGATGAAAGTTCGCCTTAAAACATAGCCGCGTATTGCGAATATGGAGGGGGGAGGGGGTAATAACAGTCAATATCAGGAGGGGGGTTAGGACGCACGGTTGGGCAGAGAGTTGCATCTTGGTAACAGAATCAACGTCATAGGCTAAATGCAAGTCTACGTCAAGTCTACGTCTAGGTCAAAAGGACTGAAAGCTATCAACAGACCATGACCCTCGCAGCATCGTATGCGCGGGCAGTTCCCTGCCACCTGGTTCCCTGCCGGTAGATGTGCTTGCGCTCCCGCTGGGTATACAGGTGGTGGGCATGGCCGTCCAGTCATCATCCTCGTCCTTCTGACCCCTGTTGGGGTGCTGTTGTTGTTATTGGTGAAAAGTCCTGGTCAGGTGTATGTAGTGGACCAGGGGGTGTGGCGGCACGTCTAGGTGCAGGTCCGGTCGTGTCAGTCACCTGCGCCCTCCCCCGCCTCCGGTCTCCTTGACTCTGTCTTGACGCCGGGGAAGTGGGAAGAGTGAGTGCGGTAGATGCTGCGCAAGTCGACTATCACTATAAACTAATATACGCTCAAGTCACCGTGTCTGCTACATCCTGCTGTGTAGCACACGGAGGACATCATCGGGTCAAACTGTAAGTAGAATCGATTAGCACCATGTAGCTATCGAGAAACCTTGGAATTCATTAGGGACGTCAAAGGTCTTAACCTTGACGACATGGTAAGGTTCTTACTAGATTACTTATCATTTTTGACCAACGGTCCTGTTACCGAGCCGACCGATGACATCTGCGAATTCCTCTCGACCAATCAGCTGGAAAGCGGGATTTCCGACGAACACACTCGTGAAATTATTACTAAGATGTACATTAAGTGCGCAGTTCCTTTTTGACAACCATTTCTATTAACAAATAGACGATGTTGCAATGGGCTCGCCTCCTGGACATCTCCTAGCCGATTTCTTCATGGGAAAGCTAGAGAAATTTCATTTAGGTTAGCAAAAGTAAGAGATCCGGGTCGGTAATCTGAGGAGAATGAATTGCTCACCGGATCGGGGGACTTTTCTGGCTGACGTTTCGAAGAGCTGGGGCTGCTCTCCATTGTCAAAGCGTCAAGTGAAAAAATCGATCAACATTTTTGAATAGACTGCCGCAACATAAGAAGAGCGAAACTCTTAGTAAGGAAGAACAGCAAGCATTAAAAAGCCTAAAAGCGGATAAAGACATAATCATCCTGCCGGCTGACAAAGGCCGTTCCACAGTAGTGCTTGACAAATCCGATTACCAGAAGAAAGCTTTGAGCCTACTCGACGACACACAGTCCTATAAACTTTGTCCAGCCAGTGAGATGAAAAATCTGCTTACTCAAATAAACAAATGCCTGGCAAAACTCAGAGCGAATGGAGCAATCACAGCTAAAGATTGGTTTCTTATGAAACCCTCTAACTCTGCCGCCGCGCGGTTTTATGGTCTTCCGAAGGTACCCAAATCTAACATACCTCTTAGACCCATCGTCTCCCTACGTGGTACTCCTACTTTCGGTTTGGCAAAATGGATGTTTGCTCGTCTTAAGTTCCTGGCAGAAGGATCGCCAACAACAGTGGCCTCTGCTAATCAGTTCCTTGAACGTTTAAAACATCTGAAACTAGAGCCAGATGAATCCATGGTATCGTTTGATGTCGTTTCACTCTTTACCTCCATTCCACAACAACTAGCGATTGACGTTGTGAGACAACTCCTGGCTGACCGCTACAACGAGAGAGACAATCCCCTGAAGACTGAACATCTCGTGGAGCTCTTACGCTATTGCCTAAAAACATATTTCACCTTTGGTGGACAAATGTATGAACAAATCAAAGGCACCCCTATGGGCTCCCCCATATCAGGGCTGATTGCTGAAGTGGTTCTTCAACGGATAGAACACTTGGTGTTCACCAAGTATCAACCAAAGTTCTCGGCTCGTTACGTCGATGACACCTTCGCCATTGTCAAATCATCTGACGTGGAGCACCTTAAAGAATTACTGAACTCGGTTGACCAGAATATGCAATTCACGATGGAAGCCGAAACAAACAACCAACTTCCCTTCCTCGATGTCCTTGTGCGTCGGTGTGCAACTGGACAATTACAAACTACCGTTTTCAGAAAAGCCACCAACACAAGACAAATACTGCGCTTCAACAGCAATCACCCCCTCTCTCACAAACGCAGCTGTGTCCGTACTCTGTTCCAAAGAGTTGAAACACACTGCAGCACACCAGCCGACAAAAGAGTTGAACGACAATATCTTCATGATCTCTTTCAAACCAATGGATACCCAAGCCACTTCATCAAGCAAAGCAAGTGCCGAGTGAACAGACGACGGCCACAAGAAGAACAACCCGAAGTCTGGAGGGCTATTCCTTACATTAAAGGAGTCTCCGAAGCGGTTTCAAGACAGCTACAACCCGCCAGGGTAGGTATTGTCCATCGACCCCAGGCAACAATTCGTCGCCGTTTGATGCAACCCAAAGACATACTGCCACCCACTGAAACCTCAGCAGTTGTCTATCAAATACGTTGTAAGGATGGAGACTGCAACTACGTTGGGGAAACCGGACGGAAATTGCAGACCCGCCTACATGAGCACAAACTGGCAACACGGAGACTAGACCCAAACTCACAGCTTGCGGCTCACATCGGGGAAACTGGTCTTAGTTTTGATTTTCAAGGAGCAGCCGTCACAGGCAGGGGCACCTCAAGGACTGAGCGTCTCACTCTTGAGGCTTGGTACTCAGATGCCAACTCCATCAACAGGCATCTAGACCTTCCTTCGGCCTATAAAGTCCTACGTCACTTCATACACCGTGACGAAGACAAGACAATCACACGGAGCCTAAGAATGCCGAGCAAACACGGCCTGTCGACCACTTCACCCAAAAGGGGAAAGCAAACGCAACCAACCCCAATTGAGGTGACGACACGTATTACAGGAGGCCACAAACATTCACAGGCGACGGCCAGTAGGCCGAGGCAAAGAAGGAAGAAAAAAAAAATCGATCAGCCCAGGGCCAACTAATGCGGCAGTCTATTCAAAAATGCTGATCGATTTTTTCACTTGACGCTTTGACAATTGAGAGCACCCCCAGCTCTTCGAAACGTCAGCCAGAAAAGTCCCCCGATCCGGTGAGCAATTCATTCTCCTCAAACTTCATTTAAGCGATCAGACCAATAAGCTTAAAAATTACGGTCGCTACGCTGATGACGTCTCTGCAATCATCACCACAGAAACCGACATAGTTGCTCTCCTAAATGCGGCAAATCAGGCATATCCGTCGATCAAGTTCACGTTAGAGATGAAAACGGCTGTGTCGCTCTTTTTCTTAGATGTCCTTCTAAACAGGAGACCTGACGGTAGCGTCCGAAGGAGCGTCTATCGGAAGAAAACCCGGTCTAGGCAATACAGGAACCACGGCAGTTTCGTGCCCCTTCAACAAAGACGAAATCAAGTTCGCTGTTTGGTGCAAAGGGCTAGAGAAATGTGCTCTGCAGATAGCATCGAAGGGGAGTCCAGAAAGATCCAGGACTTGCTTCGCAAAAACTGGCATCCTGACAGGTTTGTTGTAAAGGATATTGCTGAGCAATTGGAAAAACACACCGCACTGACCGTTTAAAGGAAAACGCAATTCCTTAAAGTCCCTTTTCAAGGGGCACTGCAAGTGAACTCCAAGAAGACGCCCTGGTAAAGCTGTCTCACGAACCGTCCCAGTAACAAGGGTTCAACTACTATTCTGCACCAAACCTATTGTACGCGGAGAAGGTAAGGATAGATTGCCAGCTCAATGTGCATCCACTCCTTTTCTTGTTTCCGGGGAGCGGGTTAAGTTGGTAGCACGAGTCACCGCGTACCCAAGAGAATACGAGAACTCCTCCCGACATAACTGGCAAAAGATCAAAATAGGAGAATAAACAGCGCCGTTCTCGCGCATGTTGTTGATTTCGGACATCGTGTGGACCACCCCAGCGAACCTTTTGGTGCAATTTATAAGATCCCATCAAGCTACCCTAAGCTATTGGGCCAGCAGAAGCGGCCGCCACCAGGCTACAAAAACTAATCTCGTGCGCACCGAAGAACCACGTTCAGGCTCCGCGCCTATCGTGGTTGAAGGTTGACCAACGCTGCAACTCTCCGCGACCTTCCACTCTCACTCCGTCCCTGGCAATGACTGCCATTACCCCCCCCCGCCTGTGTTCTAAGGCGAACGTTAATAGGTTTCTCTTATCACTGACATTCTTTTGATTTTGCACCGTCCCCATATAAATGTACCGGCCTGGCTGTGGTTGGCATGAAGGGCTAGAAACATTTGTTCTGCAGATAGCATCGAAGATTTGCTTAGCAAAAACGGGTATCCTGACACATTTATCGCAACGAATATTGCTGGGCGTTCGGAACAACCACCGCATTGACTGTCGAAACGGAAACGCTCTTGCTCAAAGTTACTTTCCAAGAAGACACCTTGGTCAGACTATCTCACGAACCTTCATAGCAACAAGGGTTCTAATACTATTTCCTACCAACCCACTTTTACGCGTAGAAGGTAAGGATAGGTTGTCAACTCAGACCACATCAATGTGCATCTACTCCTTTTCTTGCCCCTGTGGAGCAGATTACATTGGTCGTACGAGTCTGCGCCTATCTAAAAAAATACAAGAATACCTCGTGGCATGGCTAAGAAAAGGTCAAACTAGGAGCATAAGCATCACCTTTCTCGCGCATATTGTTAATTCCGAACACCGTTTGGGCCTCAGTGCAGCTTTTAGTGTGATTTACAAGGTCACATCCAGCTACCCTAAGCTAGTGACCCAACGCCTGTTAGCAACAGCAGAAGCAGTCGCCATCAGGTTACGAAAACCGATCTAGTGCTCGCAGAAGAACCACGTCCAGGCTCGGCACCTATCGTGGTCAAAAATTCAACTAACCTCTGCAACTCACTTAGATCCTGGTATTGACTGGTATTACCCCAACTCCCCCTCCCATATTCCCACACTCGCCTGGGTTTAACGACGAACTTTTATCGATCTCTCTAATCACTGACGTGTTTCTGCCTCTGACTCGTCCCCATATAACTGTACTAGCTTGACGAGAATCTATCAAAAGCCAAGTGGTTTTCTGAATACAACCAAGAGACTTTTCAGAACTCCATGTAGCCGCTCATTTGTAACTTGCATGCGTAGGTGCCAATTCTGGGAGCTTCCATACTCTCGAGAACGTTTCCAATTCTTCCTGACATCCCTTGTGCGTTTGTACAATATTCTCCTGCTTACTTACTGAATGTAATCTCACAGCACGCCGAAAGTTAGAGAGAAACCCCGGGTCAAGTTATGTACTGTTGGGTTATCGGGCTAACTTAGGACAAGAAAATAGCGTCTGTACGCCCTCCTGCAATAGAACAACGAAGTGCCCATTCGCGACAGGAAATTCACGGATCTTAACAGCTTGCCTTTTTGTGAATAGTTACATAGGAAATTTTCAGCGAACGGGATTTCAGAAGCCAAAACATAACCGATTTGCAAGCAAAAATTATCGGATTGTTTTCATGCCCAAAGTGACTTATGGCCCACCCGGTATACCCTAGCGTGCGGCAAAGAGTCCGTTATGAAACGAATCCAAAAATTCGCTTTCATGCGTTTTTGGGGACTACGCCGACTTTGGCCGTTGCGTGGACGTGCCCTAGAAGTGTCTGGCCGGCTAATCCCTGCCTG